TTTATATTTTCTCAAACATAACTTTTGGGAGTGCTTTACTTGATGACTTGGAAATCCAATGATTATTGGATAGTGGTCACTACCATATGTATATGTAAGAGTCTCCCAAGACAAAGAAGAGGCTAAGCTTGGAGAAGAAATAGATAAATCTACAGTACTTATATTCTGATTTGGATCTGTACATCGTGTTGGGCTACCTGTGTTAAGGAAACATAAATTATGTGTGTCCAGTATGTCCACTAATTCTCTACCAAAAGAGCTACACTGAGAGCTTCCCCAGACAGTATGGTGACAGTTAAAATCTCCTAGAATTAAGATAGGCTTAGGAAGGGAAGAGAGCAAGTTGTTTAGATCACTTAAAATGTAAGATGAAGGTTGTGGTATATACACTGATACTAAACAAATATTATTAAAACTTATAGCTACTATAGAGATGTCATCACAATGTGGAGGAATAGTTATATTTATATATGGAATTGTGTTCTTAATAAGAATAGCTGTTCCTCCACCGTTTCTGTCTAGTCTGTCATCTCTCACTGTACAATATCCATTAATATTAAAAGATTTATCAGGTTTAAGCCAAGTTTCTGACAAAGCAAAGGCAAATGGCTTATATTTATTGGTGAGATATATAAGGTCACTTTTATTACTTATGATACTACGAATGTTCCACTGAATTATATTGCAAAGATCCATTATTGGAATGTTGTATTATATTTTCAAGTAAAGGGGCAACGTTGGACGGTGAAATCAATTGGTATTTAGCTAATAAATTAAATAGAGCAGAAATTAATTCTAATTGTGAGTCATTATCTTGTTGTTTAGATGTTAATAGAGCACATCCATTTGATGGGGCAGGGATTGCAAAATCATTTATAATAGCATTGTGTGCATCTCTATCATAGCCAATATTGTGGTAATTATTTTTTTGGGGTTTTAGAAACACTGTTTTCTTGTATGATGTTGAGGGTGATCTGTTGTGTTGAGTCAGGGGCATTTTATAGTTTTTATTGTAAATAATGGGATTAGAAGAAGGTTTTGATATTAAGGTGTCAGCATATGATTTGGAGACATTAGGATGTACCTTGGCAGCTTCTGCATAAGACACACAATTTTGGGCCATATATGTTTTAATTTGTTTTTGCCTCATAAACTCTGGGCAAGTTTTGTTGGTAGCAAAATGGAAACCAGTACATAAACAACAACTAGCATCCTCCTCTGCAGTGCCACAAGAGTCACCAGAGTGGTCTTTACCACACTTGTAACATCGAGGACTTGATCTGCACTGTGCCCTTGTGTGACCAAAACGACAGCAATGATAGCATTGTATTGTGGGGAATATATATAAATCTACATTTAAAGCATTATAGCATAGAAAAACTCTTTTTGGAAGGACTTGTCCATCAAATGTGATAATGACTGTCTGAGATGGCTTCCATGTGGGATTGCCTTCAACAAAAGTTTTGAAGTTCATTCTTCGGACTTTTATTATATTACCACATCCTACAGGCACAGATAAATTAGCCATGACCTCTTCAGGAGACCACTCAGCAGGAACACCTCTTACCAATCCCATTCGTGTTACATTAAATGTAGGTATAAATGCTTTAAATTTGTTCTCCTCAAGTGACTTGTTATTTAGAAAGGAATTGCAATCTTTATAATTAGTAAAACCAATAGCAATTTTATTGCGACCTACTTTCTTGACACTTCCGTTAACAATATTTGGGAATCTATTTTTCTTTAAAAAATTGCCAAACTTCACAGGGTGAATCGTGAATTTATCATCAGGGGATGTTAATATTTTTTGGACGTGAAGAATGAAAGGAGCTACGTCAGTCTCACAGTAATTTTTCCGGCCAATTGGGGTAGATGAAGGTAAACTCTTTTCATTTGTTGTATTAGCAGTTATATTTGTAGTGGGCTTTGAAGACTCTGGCATGGGTAATGGAACTGATGGAGGAGTAAGATCTGATTCAGATGTACATGAACAACCATTTATTTTAGCTTCAGAGTTACCATGTCTCCTTCTTTTTTTGTTGCAGTGTTTGCAAATAATATTTGAGCGGCGACTCCGCTTTAATGTCCTATTGGAGGTGGATGCATCAGTATCCATTCCAGATTCCGACTGCACAGTGACAAAATTACCTGCCGGGGGAACGAATCCCCCCGGGTCATCGGGGGGATCGTTCATGACGGTAAAAAATTAGTAAGAGGACTTACCAATGATCCAAATATGTACACAATATATTAAATAATAATTAATATTTACAAAAATATACAAAATGTACCCTTCTGATCGAAAAATTAATATATAAAGTTTTTCACCATAAAACGCGTCTACCAAGTTAAACGTTTCCCGCGCTTTTCTGATGGGCTTTCTATAGTAAAAAGCAAGTAATAGAGTGAGTCATCTGAAATACTAGATAGACATAATTTTAAAGAATTATTACTTAAATAAACAAAAGCAACGTAATTATAAATAATTTAATAATTACTCTTGTTTTATGATGATAATAGTCTACAAAAATACTCACTTCGTACAATCACTCCTATTACCGCAGCTAATGAGTAACTTTTATTTTGACAGTTACTTTCGAGTGCGGTTTTTAATGTGAGGTGTAAACAAGCGCTGAAATTCGTTACAGAATGCCATTGAAACGTCAAAGACATTTAGGTATGTTACGGTCTCACCTGTGATAGTTTACTAAACCGCCACTCTCACTTAGTAGCGCTAGTGTCGATTTTCACTCGATTACAGAGATGCGCATAGAGTAAGCCCTCATTCGTCCATGTTACCAAACTTTAAAAATAAGACTATTTTAAGTTTACATTCATTAAAACTTTAAACTTGAGCCTCATATCTACAAATATATCTAAAGAATAAATTTACGTGCTTTTTTTCACGCATAATAACTAAGTCGATATATCTCGATTTACCAAAAACATTTAAAATGGTAACACTACAAATCACTTAGGATATAAATGACATCTCGCTTCACTTGCTTGTACAATTGGTTACAGAATGCGAAAATTCCATGAAGCGAAACATAAAGAGATTCAAAAGCGGATCCGTTTCACACAGTGAGATGAATTTATGGGTTTTACAGAATTGCACTACTTTTCACGTAGGCTTTGCAAAATTATGTTTTTTAAAAAAAAGATTTTAAGATTTATAGGAAAATTATTAATTTCATTTCTCACGTCGAACAAAAGCAAATTGCTGATGGTGACCTGGAAATCAATCAAATAGTATCAGAATACATTAGTCGCAGTCGACGTTTTTGTTACTTGTTTTGGGCCTTGCCTGTTTTCGTTGATCCTATTATGTTTCTTCAAGTATTTATAACTTCCATAAGATTTGGAAAGAGCACTGGAACGTATCCGAAGATCTTTGACATCTACATTCCATACAGTGACTACCCGCCCGGGTATTATTTCTCTTTGTTAATTCAGACTACAATTGGTTTTACGATGAGCGCTTACATTGTCACTTGGGATTCCTTGGTTTGTGTGACTATGATATTCTTTGCTGCTCAACTCAAGATAACGCGTTTGATGTGCTCTCGAATAATAGATCCGCAGAACCCACAAAAAAGTCACGACAATATCGTAGAATGTCTTAAATTTTACACAACTCTTATAGAGTAAGTTCATACCTATTGTAACTTCATAACAGTGCCCTGGTGCATTTCTCTTGTTTCTCTTCTTCTCAAATATTTAATTGTGTGTGTACAAAATAAATAAATAACCATTTATATATATAATACATCAATAAAATATAGTACTTAATTTATAAAATTATTAAAATATGTATTATGGTAATGATGACAGTTAGGTAGAAACTATTTTTCTACACCTGAGTCGAATTTTTATTTTTACTTCATCATCATCATCGTAAATTCATAATATTACACAATCTTCTTCAATCTTCACTCGCTATGGTCCTGGCACGTCATTAGTCTCTTCCACATTCGTTAATCTTCCCACATACATCGATTTTTGATCCGGAAAAGGTCCGTGATCTTTGAGGCCATGTTATATGGTCTCTTTCCGAAGAACGCTTATTCGATCTTGATTGGTTCTCTAAAAACATCTCCCGATGCATCACGAGGCACACTCAAGTTCCTTTCATTGACCTTCTTTCATTCATTCTCTTAGGTCCAAGCCTCAAGTGCCTCTTGGTTTTCATAAAGTGTATGTTCGAGGAAATAACAAATAATTATGTAGTATTGAAAAATACAACTTCTTCTTTCAGAAAACAAAGAACATTCAATAAACTTATATCGCCAGTCATGTTTGTCAATTTATTCGTTACATCTATCAACTTCGGAATTAGCATCATTGAAATAGCTCGGGTAAGTAAGTAAGCTCGGGTAGGTCTTTATTTTGTATAGTTTCAAGAAAAATCTCCTGGAGCTGGTCCCTCCAGAACTTCTGGAGACAGGTACTACAGGTAGTGAACAAGAAATTCTTATCTAATAGGAATGCTAATTTCAGGATTAAGCACACTGAATTTAGTAAATGCAATATTTGCAATGATGATCTTTTTTGGATTTCAGGTGGAGGATGATTTTGCAACGCTGGCATCAGGCTGTACCTACCTAGGCGCGTGTCTCATTCAACTGTTGATTTTTTATTGGTATAGCAATGAAGTAACTGTAGAGGTAATGCTGAATGCAGAATAATATGTAGAGTACCTAGTGGTGTAATTAGGATTTTTTTTACTAATAGTACCTAAATTAGAACAAATAGAGCCAACAATTATCGTATCGCAGTTAGATCATAATACAAGTAATATAAAAAATATATACGATTTTACGCTAATACTTTATTTGTCACGTGTTGTCTAATTCCATTGTTATCGCAAAAAAGTGACAGCATCAACCTTACTCTATCTTAAAAATTAATTTAATCCTTTGGGTGAAGTCGTTAGATTGCAGAAATATGTATACCTATTTTCTTTTGGGAATCCTATTGGAATAGTCGATGGTGTTTTCAGAGTGAAAAAGTTAGCTACGGCGTTTTTGCCAGCGATTGGCCACTTATAAGTAATAAATATCAAAGAGAAGTGGCATTACTTGGAGTCGCGACTGCAAAAAGATTGGTTTTCGAAGCCGGACCCTTTAATGAAATGACTCTAAGTACATTTTTAGGAGTAAGTAAAAAATATGCATAATACTTATCTGCGCACATAACACATTAAAAGAACATTGTTCACCGAGAGGAGAAAGTGACCGATTACCAACGAGGGTGTAGTTTGAGGCCCGAAGCGCAGATACCCAAGTTGGGAATAGCACTTTCTTTCAAGGGATACATAGGCTTTATACTATACCTGCGAGGAAATAAAAGAGAAATTCTTTAATTGAAATTTATATTAAAGTTGTTACAGTTACTAAACTTTTGCATGGGAGCTTTATATTTGTTTCTTGTTTTGACGGATAAAGATAGAGAACCTTAAATGATGACTGCTTAGGTAGTTTCTCCTAATTCTGGCGGTGTCAATAAATCATCATCAGTAGTATACGCCGTCTCGAGTACCTATTTATGAAAACAAATTAAAAACGCAGTTTTTTTTTTTTTCTAAATGGCTTCGCACGGATTGTGCATTTAGCCAATGCCAAGTGTTAAAATGTTTACAAATACTATACGAGAAGGTGCGTCTCTATTAGGATATATTTCGTGGTACCACCGCAAAAATAATATGCTTTGTGGTTCATAAAGTAAGCTTCCATTCAATTTTATTTAGATACGCCACGGAATAATTTACCAAAAATTTGCAAATAAACGAAAATTAAACAAACAAAAGAAAAAACGCTCGAAAATCTGTGTTCCATTTTCGAATTATTATTTACATAAATTTCAGCACCAATCGCATTGTAACTGTGAGTTAAAAACGAAATGCATACGTACTACAGTTTGTATATCAATTTATTATTTTTACCCTTAGATTAAAACAAAAAGGGTAGATACGGTACGCTCATACTTGCATCAAATAAAAACTGATCCCACGGCAGCGCGAACGGGACGGCGGCGAGATCCGCGTCACTGCATTACCGACCCGAACGAAACAGCACGTTAAGTTTCAACGGCAGCGCGAACGAGACGGCGAGATCCGTGTCACTGCACTACCGACCAATCACGCGACCAGTACTCGACATCAATACCGAATAAGATTCAAAACAAACAGCAATTTTTATGAAAAAATATATTTTATAGTACTTACGAATGAAAAGTGATGCCGTGGTTTTTATTTTTATTTCTTGAGCAATTTGAGCACTTTTTAAAAACACACTTAGGCATTGTTTCAAATGCAAACACAAAATATATGCAATATTTCTTTTTGGCATTCACACGTACGTCGTTTGCATGTCAAGTTGTGACTAAAGCGATTAGGGTCGTGGACCACAATTTATCCGGATCACTTTTGTGAGGCTAGTGCCGTATCTTCCCTTTTTGTTTTAGTCTAAGTTTTTATCACGTAATGAGACATTCCTTTCATTTAAAATGCTATGTTATTTAGCAAAAGATGGTTTTCATAAAATATGTTGTTTATTTTCGAAATTTCAATAGTTTCATGCCCTGTTGTAGCAGATGATTTTAAAAAACTGTGAATGCAGTTCTAGTTATTATAAAAATAAAATGAAGTCTTCTTTCAGTAAAATATCCTATCTTCAATATTTCATATACTTTTCCACCGTGTGAGGTAGCCGTGGGACGACCTGTATATATACTTATTTTATGTACGTTTACCGATTTTTTAAACAAGAATTAAGCACTTTCCGAGCTGGTGTAGTATATAACCCCTCGTTTACACCAAGAAACAAGTCATATAAGTGTTACACAAAACTTGTAGAATACTGCGACATTCTTTCGTTTATACTGCATAGACAACGAGTACATTGACAAGAATAAATAAATAAATAATTATAATAAATATTTCCAACACTCACACCAATTAGCCTAGCCCAAAGTAAGCACTGTAAGGCTTGTGTTATGGGATGCTAGGGTAAAGGATAGAATACATATACAGTACATATATAAGTATATTTATATAGAAATAAATATTAAACATCGATGACTGGAGTACAAATGCTCGTGTTCATTGCACAAATCTGCCCCCACCCCCACCGGGATTTGAACCCGGTACCTCTCGAGTCGGCGACACCACGAAACCCGGCGTACAAACCACCACGGAGGTCTAATTACTATTTACTTCACATATTTGGTGTATCCAACAAGTTTGATGCAAGTATTGTATACTTAATGTATTATACATGTATTGTAGGTATATGTGTGAACAAAAAATTAAGACATTGTATAAAATTTGTAATATACATTTCAGTTTTATTTATACCTTGGTGTAAACGAAGGGTTAAGAGGTTTCTCTATTCTGCGTTCTGTGTATTCTGTTACACCCATAAACCGAAAATGCTTATTGGGAACGCTCATCACGCGGTGTGGCAATCATAGGAAGACCACATAGCTAAATTCGTATGCTTAGCTGACATGCTATTAAACCTCAATGCGTTGTGGTGGCCAAGTTGTGACACTGAAGAAAAGCTTATTAGTTAATAAGTGGTTTTTAAGTTAACACTTTTTAGTATCGTTGTGACTTGAGTTGAGATTCCATGAAACGGAAGTAGAGAATTGACACAAGGTAGGTATCCGGAAGTAGAGTATTTGACACAAGGTAGGTATCGATAATTTTGAAATACTCTGCAAGAGACGGGATAGCCGAACGAAATCGGACTTGGGGCCGATACCAAAAGATCGGTGATTCACTCTTAATATCGGTTAAAGTTTAACATTATTTAAGAATATTTAAGTTTGCCCGCTATATAACAAGCACTACTAAGCTAACTACATATTATAAACTAGCGAAACATCAATTATTTTTTATGTAAGTTTATTTTCTAAATTCCTGAAAATATGTAAACGGTTTAACTGTTCTTGCTCGCTGTCGATGTTTTATCTCCCAGTCTTCAGACTTATTCAATCAATCACTTTTCATACGACGTAGACACGAAGAACTTTTATGTGTTCACATTTTTGTAGGTTTCACTTCACATGCTAGTTTTTTTTATATAAAGTTATCCCAATAAATAATAAATACCTTTATTTAATTGACATCTGTAGTGATTTTTTAGCAGCAAAAAGAAGATAAATTGTAGTGCTCATGCTACAGGGACAGGTATCAAAACTTTTCAGATAGTAAGACCCACATCGCAAAGCACTGTGCGTTGTAATCAAAATGGCTTCATACGCGTTATGGAGCATGTCAGCCACGCCACGACACGAATTTCGGCATGTGGTTTTGACGTGACAACGTCTTAAATTAGGTTGCGGCTGGGAGTCACTTATGAAAAAGTGTAACGCTCGGTAACGTTACGATGAGTTTAAGTTTACATGTACAATGTTTTAGTAAACAAAATATATTTCTATAGTTAAAATTTGTGCAATTCTTATTTTCATTCAATTCCTTGTTCCTATTGTGCAATTTAATTATATTCATATCAATAAATATTCTACCGAGAAAAAGACGTTGTCACGTAAAATCTTCGCCCGTAAAACCGACTTTACAGGCAACCATTTTTTCAAAGATAGCTACAATCACGAGCATTTTCATTAGAGCCATAAAAATTTCGCCATGTGGATGTTTTGCTGTAACCACAACGCGTTGTGAGCAAATTTTCTTAAATAAGCGTTTTCCGTTTTTGAGCCTCTACACATACTACTACTCTATGGGACAAAAAGGTATGGGAAAGGAATGGGAAAGGAAGGATTAATTTAAATTCGAGGGACTGAGTCGGATCCCAAAAGCAGAGAAGGATTCTAGAGTAGACTAGGATCTACATGTAAATCTTGAGCCGACCCTGAGAGAAACTAGGACCGGGATGTTTTTATTAAAACTATTTATCTTGCGGGCAATAAAAAAATATTTAAGGTTCCTGTGGGATTCTCAATTAACTAATTGACTTTAATCCGAATTCCAATCCGCGAATTTAAATCGTGTCGTGCTCGGTGGATTGTTGAAAACACCGATTTAGTTGTAAAGTTACTTTCTTCTTTTATTATGTCCATGTAACGCAGAATTCTGCGAAAATAATCTTTGCAACGTATCCGTTGTTTTCATTTTGCGGTTTGTTATCCGTGTGCGGAACTAACATTCACTGCATATAAAATTTCGGAAGGAATTTTGTTAGTTTGGTATAGTTACCTATTACTTAGAGCTCTGAAATTCTCGTTAATGGAAAGTATAATAAAGGTTTTGATTTGTTTTAATTAGGCAAAAGGCATCTCCAAGATGTCACCGATACTGGATACATCCTTAGGGTGCGGCCAGAGTGCACTCAGATTCAGATTCAGATTCTGAAAACAAGCGCGAGAAATAAACAGTGTAGTCTAAGCAGGTTGCCTGCTTTTTCTCGCGCTTTGTTTTCTGAGTCTGAATCTGAATCTGAATCAGGAGTGCACTCTGGCCGTACCCTTCGACTACACTGTTTATTTCTCGCGCTTGTTTTCGGAATTTGAATCTGAATCTGAGTGCACTCTGGCCGCACCCTTAGGGTGTTTATTTCTCGCGCTTGTTTTCGGAATCTGAATCTGAATCTGAATCTGAGTGCACTCTGGCCGCACCCTTAGGGTGCGAAAACAAGCGCGAGAAATAAACAGTGTTGTCGAAGGGTACGGCCAGAGTGCACTCCTGATTCAGATTCAGATTCAGACTCAGAAAACAAAGCGCGAGAAAAAGCAGGCAACCTGCTTAGACTACACTGTTTATTTCTCGCGCTTGTTTTCAGAATCTGAATCTGAATCTGAGTGCACTCTGGCCGCACCCTTAGAATTTGATAGAATGCCTTAAATCCGTTTGTGTTCCAAATAAAAATATCTCTATATTTAAACCTAAATCGTCATCGCCACCCCGCGATTGTTTTCCCACAGTTCAAAATGCCATTTGAATTAATTTACCACTTTTTCACAATGTTTAATCTACTACATATTATTAAAGGTAATTTTTCAATGATACTTTTATTTTATATATGTGCTTATTAGTATTACTCGTTTGTTTTAGATTATACGAGCAAGTTATAGTTTCTATACTTTACTGAACAAGACTAATTAGTAAAACAAAACGTTAAATTAGTTACTTACTGT